GCGAATGTTGATCTCGTAAGGAAATTGACACAAAGTCGGCGCGTTTAATATCTGTGTATATTGTTGAAAAATTTTTATGGCACCAAATGGCAACTGTTCCGCATCAAACCAAAGAATAATCATGTAAATCGGATCATAAATCTCAGCGTAATCGGTGTACATACATAAAAAGAATATACCAGTCGAATTGAGAATCTCCTTCTTTTTGAAGTCGGTTAAATGTGGTGCCATAGATTGTTAAAAATTCAATATGAAGTAGGTAGTTTAGGCATTAGCCGAGGAGCTTAGTTGATAAGAAAACAGCGCTCTTCCTGGAAGACATAGGTTCGAATCGCGCAGAGGTGAAAATGTGTCTAGTAAAAATTTACATTTTAAGTTAAATCATGAGTGCCGGGACTGGCACATTAAATATAAAATTCATTGATGTTGGAAGTCAAAACACACAGCCTTTGATTTATTGTACACAAATCTATATTTAATGTAACAACTGTGATAGCTCATAGTCCGGAACTTTAAAATTTAGTGAGACATATACAGCGTGTCGTTACCATCGCGACAATAAATGAACACACGTCTAACGCTACTTGCCAATAATCATAAAAAAATATAAACGTTAAACAAAATCCATAATTAAAAAAAAATATTTTTCACACAAAATAATTAAGTAAAAAAGAAACAAAATTTGTAACATCCTATACAACTCGCACCACAGCGTCATTACAATCCTCTCCTTCTAACAGTATGTTTTGTCTCTTTTAAATTCATTCAACCCATTCATATGCTTTGTGACCTTTACAAATGAACTTTACGTTACGCTTTTATAGGTAAGGATGTTCTAAAATTCTTTGTTTTGGAAAATTTAATAACTCTGTAAATATTGATGTTTTAATAATTTAAATGTTTAATACAACTTTAAAAAGTTATCCCCTATATGTGTGTTCATTTAATGTCGCGATGGTAACGACACGCTGTATATAATCTGTTAGTTTACTACATTTGACTTACATCCCACATACATTTGACACTTTTATTTCAATATCTCTATTTGATTAAACACGCGAAAAAAACTAACTTTTATTATTTAATTCTTCGGGATCGAAAAGGCTTTACATAGTTCCGAGAACAAGTTATTGATGGGCTAATTGCCATCCATCGAGCCTCAAAAACAGAGATTATCCCATGTAAGAAAAAAAAACACAAACTTTTCACGCTCTGAGTTTACGTACTTTAGACATTATCTTAGCGAGGTAATTGATAGCGAGTGAGGCGCAGGTTATATAACGTGTAATTTATTTAGTGATTGTCAAAATATATTTTCAATATGTTTTGTTGTTAGTAATAATTTTGAGATGAATTTTAAATACATACTCTGAGATTTTAACCTAAACTATGCTGAGAATTTATTATATATACCATTAGAGTTTTTAAATCTCTTCTGACTTATTCATTTTTACTGGATTGACAGAGAAACTTATTCAGGCATGTATCTCAAGGCTTAATAGTTTCTAAAAACGTTAACGACGTTAAGCGTACGTTAGTTTTAATCAGAGAAGCATGAGATGAGTCATACACCAATCGCATCACAAGGAATGTTATTGCTAATAGGAATGAAAAACAAAGAAAGTTCTGGCGTACACACATCGGATTAGAATCCATGAACATAGCAATCCATTCCCAACCAGGCAAAGGCAACCAATGCTTAAACTAAGAAACATTAAATCGCATAATAAGTGAAGAATAATAAATAATACCAAGTGTGACAAAAATCCCCCAGCGGGTGGAGGCACGTGTCACTTTGATTAGTTCGGTGAATCATTTACGATTTAAAACATTCCCCGCAAGAGCAGACATTGGATTTTCATCTTAAACATATCCCACGAAAGTCTATTATGCGGTCGATTTTTTTTATTCACTGCCTGTGTCGGACGGTGTTTCAAGTGCGGGAATTTGAACCGTTTGTCTATTGTCACTGGGACCAAATTCTCTTGGGAATGTAGAAGACCATAGAAGGGATTATCCAGTGTTCACAATCGAATTAGTTGACCGCCCGTAGTTTTTGCTACTCAACACAATGGGTTCTTTGAAATGGGAGCGTGCTTCGGCGGAATTACCCGGTCGCTTGTCTTCGTGCTTTTTTAAAATAAGCTTTCTCTATTGTATATCTCAGAAAAAAAAAACATGCGAGCGTACCTAACTTTTGAAACAAGTGGTCTTCAATTCACGTTATTGGAATTTAAGAAATTAACGCGACGATAAAACTCCCTTTATTTATGTAAATCATCAGATATATCAAAATGTATAATTGTTCAAAATGAAATATGTTTATTGGAGTTATTTTTATATTGTCACGCCAAATTATAACTTCTTATGTGCAATGAAGTCTTATGCTCAATGAAGTTTTTAACTTAAATCATGTGCTCCAAGGAAAACACCGTGAGGAAACCTGCATATTTTCGAAATAATAACAAAAAAAATATTTGTCGAAGATATATGAAGTCCGCCAATCCGCAGTGGGGCCCCGTGGTGGACTATGCCCTGATACCCTCTGTATAGAGGAGGCCTTTGCCCAGCAGTGGGACATGTATAGGCTGTTACTTCACTATGTGCGTAACATAAGGTACGTGTGTGTAATCTTTATATATATAATTCTTCTGTACGTGTGTATGTCCCTGAACTCCTAAATGGCTGGACCGACTTTAATGAAATTTGCTGTGTTTCCAGGTTGATTCCAGAATGGTTTAGATTCACAATTTGTTTTTTTTGTGTTTTATTTATTTATAAGATGTTTTATTTATTTAAGTCGCGTGTACAGGACAACGTTTGTTGGGTCCGCTAGTATATTTATATTTAAGAATTATTGAAGTAGGTTTTATTTTGTCTCGAATTGCTATACTTGCGGTGAATTTCGCCGATTGCGAAACGAAAAATCTTTATGCTGTTAGGTCAATGAAAGTTTATACTGTAAATAATCAAATTTCTTCCAGTATTGTACTTTGTTTACGTTTACAACGATCGCTGATTAAAATTACGATGTAATTATGACAGTTGAAAATTCTTTCCAGTACTTACATATTATCTATCATATACTTACATTGTATAAATATTTTTCAATGTAATATAATTTATGCTGTAAAATGTGACATTTATGACTGTTATCAGTGGTTATTAAAATCATTTTACAAAATTCATGACATTTTCAGCACCTAGTCACTCTGTGGTTAATTGCATCTTTTAAGGTTCTGGTCCACCGATTGTAAATTCGTACTTAGGAAAAAACTTGTATGAATATTTAATCCTTAGTAATCCTTACTTCTCCTTACTAGTATTATAAACGCAAAAGTTTGTATATATGGATGGATGTTAGTTACTCTTTCACGCAAATACTTCTGAATGGATTTTAATGAAACTTTACAATGATATAACTTATACATCAGAATAAGACATAAGCTATAATTTATATATATATTTCATGTATATCTTCTGTCTTCCTGTCTGAATGTAACGCCTTCAGCTTATTCTACGCAGACGTAGTGGCGGGCAGCAGCTAGTATCATATAAATGCATTCTTTAATATGAGCCAACTTTAAATTGTACCGTTTAGGTCAGGACAACCCTCTGGGGCCAAAAGGGTTGAACTGAAATGCGGTTGTTGCGTTTAATGAGAGGTATTAAAATAAATTCGCAGCCCACTGGGTGTTTTTGGCGCGTCACTTAGCGTTTAAGAATGGACAACTTTGGTAAAAAATGCGCGCAATTTGGAACAACGGAGGTCCTTAAGGTAAATTTATTTAAACGTGTTATTGCGCTGGAGCAAAATTTAAAAACAAAAAATTTGTAAAAGAGAACATTTTAATGATTTAGACTTATTTTTTTTATTTTATAACATTCGTATACACAGGAAATTGTCAATTATTTATCAGGTGTTACTATTCATTCTACTTATAAATTAACTCTTCAATAGACAAATAAATAATTCTTTATCTGTTAAATAAGTAACTATAAATGCTACATACTTTAAGTCTTTATCTGTTAAATAACCTCAAATATTTCTAGATAATAATGTTGATTTAGTTATTACATTGAAATCGTGGTATACCTGTATGTATACCTGTATATTGATGTGGTAGCGATTATAAACAGTCCATCACCCTCAGGGCACAATTGGCTAAGTGGTGTAAACTAGCCCGCTTTGTACATAATTAACTAATATCTGTTCATAAACGCGTAATACAATAGAAGCTTCCTGACAATCAAACTATGAAACTTTATATTTCTTAATGAAAATGCTCTAAACCGAAAAAAAAGGATACGTAGAAACGTATCCTTTTTTCCACGGACACATGGAATTATTCTATAATTAAAGCAGCATTCAAATCAATTTTAGTATAATTATTTTTACACTTTTATTCACTCTTTTTATACAAGCAGATACTACTTGAGGAATACCTTACTGCTGTTTCAATTGTTGAATAGGAAACAATGAATACCGGTAATTATTGAATCGAAATAATCGAAATCTGTGTTCAAAGGTGTTTAGCGGTATTTGCATCAAAACTCAAATACGTTTTGGGAATGGAGCAAAGACGTAGTTTTTCAGCTTAATATCAGATTGGAACCTCTTTATCCTGAATAATCCGTGTTCGCCCCATTACCTGCACCAACTGTAGCTACCAACTACTGCAACAGCTACCAACCAGTAGGGTGTACAGTTCTCTTCGCCGTAACCGATTATCCTGACACTATAACCGCCTAATACCCTGACAGTCTGGTACGTCCTCGCTATAAAACATAAAATCTACTCTCTCTGTAAAACATAAAGTCTACCCTTAGAAAATCAGTCTTCCTGAATAAAAAACACGGACTCGACCAGACCGTCTTTATACAGTTAAGTCTTTTTGCTATCTTCGTCGTTACGCACTTTCATGAACCAGCCGCCGTAGTGTTTGTCCGAGTTGCAGTCTTCTTCGTTCCTGCACGCTATTCTGCTGACTCTGCGCTCATACTGCAGCTAAGTCGTACGGCCTGCGTTCCCGGCTGACCAATCCATGAGAGATCAAGCAGTTGAACGCTTCGTCGGGGCACCCTGCAAACGCTCCCCACTTATGTGTTCCTGCAGAGACGTTGTTGTGGATGCATGTGTGGCCGGAAATTATGGACCTCTCGTGTGGATCGACCAGTAGGAGCCGTATTTGCCCTGGTCGTAGACCTCAACGATGGACTTGCAGTTAGGCGTTTTCGCGAGAGTCGAAGTTCTTCGGTAGTTCAATAGCCTCATGTTGAAATGCTGAGACGTACGAATGCTAGAGTTATAAACGAACGTCATAACATTATTTCGTTAAGACGATTTTATGTTAGTTATTAATTGTTGGATTGTTGTGGAATTCCTAAAAAGAAATATTATAGGAATTAACGGAATAGTAATTATTTAGTTCAAATAGAGTATCGATAAAAGCGAATATTTAGTTTTACGTCGATTGAACGATAGACATGACATATTTCATCACTTTTTAAATGTAAATATTTATTAACATATGATGGCGGATACATACGCAATGGATTACGGATATATAGCGAAGTGCTAGTGTGATGCACAGACACTTATACCTTACTTGGGAGTTATTTCCAAAGGAGCGTTGACATTAGGGAGGCGGCCGGCCGTAGAAAATCTAGCTAATATAATTAACATCATGATTCACATTATGTGTCGAACCCTTCTAGGTGGGACATGGAGAAAAAGTAACAAGGTATAAAAATATGTCTATATTTGAAAAAAAAATCTATAAAACAGAAAGTTAAATCTAAGTAAGGACTTATACTCCAACCTGATTGGAAAAAAAAATGCAGATAAAAGACGTTAAGATTTTCGTCAGTGTGACAATCAGCCGTTTAGCTTAGTGGCTAGAGCGTCAGTCCGCGAATGCCGAAGACGTGAGTTCGATTTCCACAACGGCGACAATCTTTTCGTACTTTTTCTACATATTTTAATGTTAAATCTTAAGTGCAAAGATTATCACTATAAACAACTCTAAATTTCTGATTGGAAAAACTTTAATATTCTGTAATTATAATCTAAGAATATAAAATTTTATTCATCATCATCATCATCGACTTCCCGCACACTTACACAGGTCGTCACTCCATCTAGTGAGGGGTTGCCCAACACTGTGATGGCCAGTACGAGGCTGCCACTATTTCTTCCTCTTTAAAATTTTGTTATGAAGATATAATCACTTTTTTGATAATTAACGTATAGTCACTCACAAGAAGGTAAAGCTAAAAATGTAGGGTACATTACTTTTCAGTATACTATAACTTTCAACATACAAAAATTGTAAATTTTTTCTTATGCTATGTTAAAAGGGACTATAATTATATACAGACTATATAATAAACTCGCTTTCGAATTTATAATATTGTAAGAAAAGCAAGAAAGAACTCGTCATCGTCACTATTTCAGCCTGTTTGAGTTCACCGCTGAACAAAGGCCTTCCCATAGACTGCCACGAGGTACAATCCTGAGCCACCTGCATTCATCGGAAGAACTAATCACACCAAACGCCATAGTTACTTTATTGTCTAAGATAAATGATGGGTTGCCAGCCTACAACACGTTATTAGATTGCTTTAGATATGAATACGGCGACTGTTTCCATTGTCCCGCACAATACAAACACAGTTTGGCCCCCGGATATAATTGGCTAAGTGATGTTACTCCGGATAGAGAATTAACTATAAACATTTACACTACGTTGATTGCTTAACTATGCTTCTGTATGTTTTCAAGCATTGCTACGCCAATATACAGCCAAAGGATACAATAAGTAAAGCCAATAAATTCACTGGCTTATATGAATTCTATATATGTATGTATTTAGTAGATCTTCAACCACTACCTTTATTTTTAAAAAAAATGTACGAATATATGCACGTCACCGCGAGTCAACTAGCAAGCAACAGTGTTGAAAAATTGCATAAAGAGTCTTAGAATTAAAAGATTCCTAACAGATATTCGTTTTGGATCGCTTTGCTTAAAAGTTATAATCGAGAGCTTACGCAATTGAATGAGAAACCTTGTCGGTCTGAATTTTTTTACAATTTAAGATATAATTTTCATTAAATAGAGTAAAAATTTTTTTTCCCATCAAATGTGATGAATGCTATCGATTTATATTGTCGTATAAAAAGTATTTATATGAAAAAAAAAAAATCAGTTTTCACCTTACAATTATACTGTCATGGTTTTGCAGAATTTAATTATAAATATTCATATAAATATTTCTTCTATTGCGGGTTAGTTCAGCCACCGATTCCATAAAGAAAGCAATTGTCAAAAGGTACTCTAGGAATTTCTTTACACGAATACATTACCACGAAAAAATTAATAATCCTTATACCTTGCTAACTTTAAACTTAAATATTATAGTGAAAAATGAATAAGCCTTAATAACGCCAGAAAGGCTTCACGCTGAAATATCCTTTATTTCGCCGCGACATTGCTTATTCCTGGAATAACGTATGCAAATGACACACGTCAGAAATGTCGCGTGGCGTAGTTTTGCACATTCGCACGTGGATGTCGCATGCGATACATAAATCATCAATTTAGCGCACGGGAATATACCCGGCGAGTTCATCGAATCGTTCCTTCGATTTTCGTGAAATATTTTAAACTAACTTCGGCGGAACAAGGATCGGAACTTAATGTGTTTCGGACGCGGCAGAAACTGGAAAAGAAGAGTGAAAAACAAATCATATTCGTTCACCTAATGTTGAGTGATAACCGCCGCCCAATAATAATTATAACACCCGTAGGTTTGCAGATATGTTGCCACCTTTTAATAAAGTAGGCTCATTCACCAGACGAAACGCAGAAGAATAAAATTTCCACTTCACGCCAGTCTTCTGTGAGGTCGTGGTACATAACAGGACGGACTTGCCCTTTCGTGCAACAGTCTTCAGTAATACTGTTATTACACCCTCATTATCGTCTACAAATCATATTATAAAACAATGAATCTACGGAGTACTTTCAGACTCCATTCAAGCATTCGTTGCCTGAGTTTTATTTTTTAATTTTAGTCCTCAACACGATACAATAAAAGAGACAAATATGATAAAATAAAATAATTGACGGTAGCTCGGGCTAACTTTGACACCAAGACGTTAAACAATTACCTTGACAATGAACGCAAGTCCGTAAAATGATTTAGTTTAATCTCTGTACCAATAAGGCGTAGAGACTTGAAATTTGGTACGAATATTGCTTTCGCCGGGTAGAGGTCAGAGGATTTTACGAAATGTTACCTGTTGGGTCCGCTAGTATGAATATAATCTACGGAGCATAAACGCTCAGGGTATAGATGAACGAATTATAGAAGACTGCGCAGATATTAGTTAGGTGGATTGTTTATTGTACCTTCTGTCTTATTTCGTGGCTCGTTGGCGTATGGAAATGCATGAGTCGAGCGGCGAACGAAACTTACGATACTAATATCAGCGGACCGGTTCCTTTGGAAGCCGGCGAACTTGCCGGATTTAATATTGTTTGTGACGCGTTTGTTTTACATCCGCGCTTTATATCTTCAAACTCGGGAATGCATTATAAGTTTACACTTTGAAGGTTCCTTTGAGTATCGAACTACGGTTAATGTCAGGAGGCACTCTATTTTATTCGTGGGTTGGCTTTTCTATAAAAAAAAGTTGACGCCTGCTTATACCTGTATATTAGATATAGCGAATTGCGACAAGTATAATAAATAAATGTTGAAAAATTTTCAACAAAAAATTGGATATATATTATATATATTGGATATACCGTTACACATAAAATTAAATATAAATTCTAAAAATAAAAGTTTTTTATTTTTATTTTTATTTTTTTTTATTTATTTTTTTTTTACATTGCCCTTACTATAGGATAAATTTGTCCTGTGTTGCAAGGACGTTTTACAAACATAAATTTCACGCGGACAAACACCCAGATGCGAAACAACTATCTGTGGGTCACACAAATAGTTGTCCCGTGTGGGGATCGAACCCACGACCCCCGACGCTGAAGCCATATGAAGAATACCTTGGCAACTGCGCCACGGAGTCATCAAAAGTTATTAATTCTTGCCACTAATTGTCAATTTCCAGGAAATTATTTTTATCACCTTTTTATATATAGATATACTATTGAACGTAAGGATTTATAAGCATGTATGAATTAGTAGTATGAATTTTTATGAGATAAAAAGTGCGTAGTGTGGAAAATAGAAATCTCTGTTTATGAGATAAATATTTCGAATTGAATGTGACACTGTATACCTTTCCTGTTTTAAGGTGCCATTCTTTATTTATATGCATAAATACACTTGTAAAAGTTGACATCGATGAAAATTAAAAAAAACCGGCCAAGTGCGAGTCTGACTCGCGCATGAGTGGTTCCGTACCATCATCAAAAACGGCAAAAAAATCAAGTCTGTCGTATCGGCGCCCCACTTTATTTTTTTTTCTGTTCTTTAGTATTTGTTGTTATAGCGGTAACAGAAATATTATCATCTGTTAAAATTTCAAATGATACAGACCTGGTGACCGAGGGCCAGAAAAACAGTGGAGCCTCAGTAATATGGTTCCGTATTACCCTTTGGGTACGGAACCCTAAAAAAAAAAAAAAGAATAAACGAGTATATTGTTTTTTTTTTTTGCATTTTGTCAATTTATTTTGTATTTGTCATCCTTTGTTCGCTTTTCCCAGCGGCCAAAAATATTGACTTTGAATAAATAAAAACACATGTTTTCGTAATTAACAGTTTATAAATATAAAACGTACGCCAGTTCAAACAATAACGGGCGACGCGGAAAATTGATACGCCCTTAGAATATTTGTCTTTGTAGCCAAAGGCCAATTCGTAATTGGACGATTTCCAGTTTTTATTTTTGAGTTGTCTGTGACATACACGCTTCGCCCCAAGCGTTGTTTGTTTGAATAACGCTAGGGGATAATTGAGAGTAAAGTAACGCTGTGTTTTTAACTGCAATCAATTGTTATGATTCGGCAGAAATAAATTTACAAATGGATAAAGAAAAACAGTTTTTTGTTTCGTTTCTCATTCTGGAATGTCATGGCTTGTTTATTAGCTAATGTAAGTTAATTCTACACCAAAATATTGATGGTTTTTAAAAAAAAAATCAGAGAGATCTTATTGTACGTTACTAATATTCTGTGTACTATGGCGAAAAAGCCGTCATTACCACTTAGATGAGATGAATGGCTTTATGAAGGACGTGACG